GCGAACATTTACTATGAGTTCCTTGCTGACTTACTCTTGATGTATTCAAGCAAACATTTTTCTCGGCTTTTCAAGCCGTTTTACATGTTGATCTATAGAACAGTGGACCATATCATGCCACACACAAACACGCAAAAGCTGCCCGTAATAAAAAGCTATTTACAGTACAGTCAGAGAAAGAGGGGAGGTGTATTCCTATTCCGGCAGTGTTTGCGGCAGTCGGACAGATCCTATCTCACCAGATGTCCCATGTCTGAACAGGGAACGCATTCCCGGGCCATAAAAACACAGTCTCTCAGTCACTACATCAACGCTTTGTGACATTGCTATATACAGCGCCGAGGAGCGCTACAGTATATCACCGGAGCACCACCCACAGATGTTCAGAGCGACCCGTTTTCCCACAATGCCGATGGACTGCCCACCCCACGCCGCCTCCTGCCTAGAATTACACACCGACCACCATCAGACTGACCATACTGTGCCTTGTCCTTCATTTGGCCTGAGTTCTAGTCTGAATCGCAATTAACTGCAAGGCAGTAACTCTGAGGTTAATATGTATTACAGCTGCGATTCATATAGCTCATGCAGTCCGGCTGTAGGCCTAAATGCTCACAAATTAAAGACGATGGTCCCCACACTAATCTCGCATTCATTGTTTTCAACTCCACCGTGCTGGTGCACTGAGCCAACCCACAAAAATTGTGTCATCGTACACTGTACTGTGTCTGAAATGATTTAATGTCTGCAGTGTGAGAAATTCATATAAAAATGCTAATGGAAGGACAAACGCTCTTAACTTGGCGCAGTTCACCATTTGTCCTTATCTAAAAGTAACAACAAATCCATTGAAGACCAAATCAACTCATGAAGGTTGTTGAAAAAAACGCTCAATCGTTCACATACTTATAAATGCACCATATGTTATGAACAAATATTGATTAATTATGGGACTTTTAAGTACCTAATTGTTTACTCAGTGACAAGTTCACTCACTCAAATAGCTCTCCAATGCCGAGTAATCATTTCGTTAGTCTATCAATATCATTGCGCTAGCATTAAATTGTGCTAATATACACCGCTGCCTCACTTTCAGTCTTTATTTCTCCCAAGTTGTGGACAGGTGTACTTCTCTTTGATTGTACATCCTACGGTGGCTGAAAGAAGATGTACCTCCTTTAGTTTCCTCTCGCCACGCGTTCGCCTCTCATGAAATATTCATCGCGTTGAGAAGCAGTTAAGTTGCTTTAACACCGGAGGTTAAAGATCTTAGCGACCGTTCACCCGCGAGATACACCTGCTAAAATATGCTAGTGTATTCACTCCAGGCTGAAACTGACTGGGTTAATCACATGCCGTATGTAGCGTAGCGTAGCGTATCTCCCTCTCTCCATCATGTCTCGCGTCACAGCCCTGCCGAGGCATTCATATTAGAGCGGAGACATGTTTGGACATAACTGGTCAATAGTAATTTTGCTTCTTATCGGCGCGTGTATGTGTACGTGTGTGGGATTGTGTGACTGGCAGCCTCGGTGGTGGTTTTCGCCGCGGATTCATACGGCGTAGCGGCCCTTTGTACTGATAAGGACTCCTTTCTCACAGGGTACTGTATATTCTCACTGAGGCTTTTATGTGCAGAACTCCCTGAGGGGGATAGCTCAGCTGAGTTTGTTCTGGTCCAGTAATTGGTTCAGCGGGTGCCCTGTGGCGGTGGTGGGGAACACGAGGGTAACACGAGGGGGTGTCTTTTATCAGAGGGGTGTTTGTGCTCTGCCGAGGCTGATGCTGTATTTGAAGGTGTTCACTGTGCCCAGCTTGGGATTCTGATGTGTGTGCGTGTGTGTGTGTGTGTGCATGTGTTTGCGTGTGTGTGTGCGTGTGTGTATGTTTTTGTGTTTTTGTGCCTGTGTGTGTGCACTTGTGACTGTGTGTGAGTGTGTGTGTTTGCACGTGCCTTTTTTTGCTTTTGTTTCCGTATATGTGCGTGTGTGTGTGTGTGTGTGTGTGCGTGTGTGTGTGAATGTTTGTTTGGACGTTCGTTAATTTGGCCATTCTTCGGCCATCGGTGTCCATACAAAAATGAACATAGCTATTTGCTAAGCCAAACTTGTCACTGAATTGAACCTTTTCTTATCTCTGTACAGAGGCCCAGGAAGAATTAGGCAGCTGGTGTGCCAGTTTCAGTCTCAGTGTAATGCTATCTTTGACTGAAGGCGCCATTAACCGCGGCCTCCATTTGCGCGAGCATTTGTTTAGCGCCCTATTCCTCCTCTTGAACACAACAGCGAAACACAGAAACCAAGGCTCGGCTCTCCGAGCTGCGGAGGGGTTCAAAGCCGACACAAGTTCTCAGCCCTCTGAGCCGCGCTGATTTAGAGCACACATTTGCTCTCAGTAATAACAATAATCAATATTTAATGTGCAGAAATATTACATCAGATACCCCACTGCTAAATGTATGACGGTTATTTCCCTTAGTGGAGAGGCCGCAAGACTCGGCTCGGAGTCACGGAGGGCAACGGATGGAGCGCTGCGGACCTGTTGTGTGCGGAGACGCGCAATAAAAGTCTCAATTCGCCGGGAATTATGGTTTCACATTCACAACCTGCTTTTCTCTCCCTTTCTTTTAAATAAAACATTAAAAGCATCATTTTGTGTTGAAGTGCTCTAATGAAAAAAAAAAAAACACAAAGCACATAAGGTCAGTTTTCCTCCTCATATTGTATCTTACACAGTTATTTATGTATTTCATTTATTTTAGTGTGGAGTTTTTTTTCTACTCACTTTGCTCTTTCTTTTTTCTCACTATCTCTCTCTCTCTCTCTCTCTCTCTCTCTCTCTCTCTCACGGTGAGAGGCTGTTTGCAGTATGCTAGCAGGTGCCATTCCAGATGTTATAATCCACTTTCAGTAGCGCTTCTGTCTAGACAGAGACAGATGTTTGAGTGACACGACCACCCCCCCCCATCGCCCACCCACCAAACCCCACCCCCCACCCCTCCCTCCACACTCCACCCTTGCGACTCCAGCATCCTGTGGCCCTGTCCTGTCTGAGCGCGTCGGGGTTAAGAGGCTAATTTTCCTTAATTGATTGTAAGCCCTGCGTGGCGGCGCTCCCGATGCTGCATTACACGGGCGATGCCGGCACTTAAAACATATTCACCGGGGAGAGCATTGATCCGTCTGATCAATACCCATGTCCTCACATTGAGGTCTCTCTCTCTCTCTTTGGCAGAGCCCGCTCTGAGTCCTAATGAAAAGGGGCATAGCGCACTCGTTTCCGCTGCTCTAACTGTTTATTTCATTCTTTTTCTTTCGCTTTGCGCCGAAGTCTCACAGTCCTCCATTGCGGCCAGCATGTGTCATAAAACTTTTCTTTTTTTCTTCAGTGCACAAAGTTGTAAGGCAAAATAATTTGTAACCAAAATAACTAGATTATTATTATTATTATTATTATTATTATTATTATCAATAAATTTAAATGGCTTCTTTGAGCTGAAAAAGGGTTTTAAATTGATTGGGTAAAGTCCTTCAATCCTCCGATATGTTAATCTTCCTTTTCATGGCAGTCACGAGGCTCAATATGTAGAATTATGTATGTTAGCTGTAAATGTGGTGTCAATGATTTCCCACACCCTCAGAAAGGTATGGCAGGGCCACAATTTTCACCTATGTGCACCCCCCCCCACACACACTCACACACATACACACACACACACACACACACACACACACACACACACACATATCTCTCTCTTCCTCTCTCCTCTTCTTACTTTACAGATGCCATGTTTCAGTGAAAGATTAAATGAAAAAGAAACAAAAATATTTCATATTGTGTCTCTTTAAGCTGTAATGGTAAATCCCCTCATGATAGACTCGAGACTGTGACTGTTGTGTCTGTGAGGCTTTTTATGCGTCATTTTTTTTTTGTTTAAATCTTACCCCAATTTGCATTACAATAAACAATAATAAATGCGATTTGAGTTCACGTAGGGATGAGAAAAGGCAAGGCGTAAACCCTGTTTTTTTTTGTGATTTAAACAAAGTAATCAATAAACAAGCGTAAATTTTGTGCCTGTCAGAAAATGGATAGCGTAATCTGGAGCTTTCCTTACCATTTTGAGGAGCACATTTTGACACCACGGTTACACTTGTGATAAAAAAGCAAAGGGCTTATTTTAGCTTCGCGCCGTTTAAACAGATTTTTTTCCCCTCTCTTTCAGAAAAGAGTTGATACTTTTGAGGGAAAATCTCTTCTGGAAAGGCAACACTTCGAACGTGTAAGAACGAGGCGTTTGATACAAAAGGCAGATAAGCATGAAAAATCCTTTGATGTAGCCGAGTTTTTACGGAGAAGATTCAGTTGTTGTCTAATCTTCAAACAAGCAGCACAGCCCTTATTTTCTGCTCAACCACAAAGCAGGCTCTGTCTCATTCACAAAGAAGCTCCCTAAGTAGGTAGCATGCTTCAGAAATACGGCTGTTTAGGACTGTCTCATTTCAGTTGGAAACATAGGACTCCTCCCAGTGAAGTTCCTTGATTGGGCAAAATTTCAAGGAAACATCATGTGGTTCCTATGCAGAGAAGGAAATCCCACAATACCTTGCGATGAGCCAGGGATTTGGAAATTGGATTACTGACACGCGATGACAAGTGTTGGTTTTTAACATTTTTATGTATTATCATTAAATTCACTTCTTATGATTTTTGAGGGAAATAATTGCCTGTATGGATGAGATTAGATGATTAGATATACTCTATGGAACCCCGTGGGGTAATTTGTCCTCTGCATTCAACCCATCCTATAGTTAGGAGCAGTGGGCAGCCACAGAGCAGAGCCCGGGGACCAACTCTAGTTCTACAGCCAGAGCCGTGGTCAGGGGTACTGGCAGGAGTGTTCCTATGATGCATGTTTTTCTGGGCGAGGGAAACCGGAGTACCCAGAGGAAACCCATGCGAACACGGGGAGAACATGCAAACTCCACACTGAGAGGCCCTGGCCGGCCGGGGCTCAAACCTGGGACCTCCTTATTGTGAGGCAGCAGTGCTAACCACTGCGCTACCGTGCCGCCAAGTTGTTGATCATGAGCTGTTTTAGGCCCGGTAAACTAGACTGCCATAAAGCTACCTTCAATATTCCGTAGAAATCGCTGATGCTGCACTGCAAAGTGTGCTGCACTCGTCACATGACGCTTCCTAGTTACACTGTTTAATTTCATGTAATCTGATGAAGAACTTGGTTCCTTAGGAAGGCTCCGAAGTAGCTACCAAGACGATGGGAATCCTTATAAATGAGGCATAGCCATACGTTTCACAAATAATTTCTTTGGAGAGTTTTCGTTTGCTGTTCCAGTATGTCCTGATTTTCAGCGAAACCTCGCTCGTGCATCGGCTGTGACTGAAATTATCAAACGTTCATGGGATCCAGCTAATGTCACAATCTCGTTGGTCTCATGCTTTTGTGCCGCACTTTCAGTGTAAACAATTTTACTAAAACAATCCGCTTTCATGATGACTCGCAGGCCTTCTTTTGAAAAGACAAATCATTGCAAGTCTTAACAAATACTTCACTTTCAAGAATGTGAGGACCGGATTACTCGACGATTAGCATCACTGTACCGCATGGAAGAAAACAACACAAGTAAGTAAATGAGATATGCTACATTAACTGGAAGCGCAGTAATTGCTAGCGAGTGGTACCCCGTAAAGCGGAGGCCGTTTCCCCCAGTCTGCTGAGTGCTGAGGGTGTGTATGCCCCAGGCATAGAAAACTGCCAAAGACACACTCCATTTGAGGAGAGAGCTCTCCCTTTTAGGAGCAGTGCAGCAGTCAGCGCGCATCAGAGGCAGCAAAACGTGATGTCACAATTTCACAGGGATGTGTTAATCACTGAACGCGCCCGTTTCCCGCTCGTTTGGGAAAATAGCCTCGTTCGCAGTGGGCACACTCAGTCCACAAATGTATAGTTGGAGAATGCTTCGGGCTGGCACACCTTTCACTTGAGGTTTGGATATGTCTGAGCGTGTGTTTGTGTACGAGTGAGTGTGCAGACCTGGGCGTGTGTGTGTGTGTTTGAGAGAACGTTTTTGATTCATGCAAATCTTCTCCTTCCAATCAGCAGCCACTTTTGCGCTTGTGAACAAGTGTGGATTCTTTAACCAATCACCGATGTCAAATGCATTACTGATGTTCAAACACTCCCAAAGCCTTCGAGCAATTCAGGACGGGATTCCAACACATTATCTACGGCTAAACACTACTACTTCATCTTATAATGAGCTTAAATGCTACATTACCACCTATTCGTCCATTAGTGTCAAGGCTACAGGGTCTTGTAGTGAGAACTGTGATATTATTCCTGGAGAGCCATTTACTATGTAAGGCTATGTAAGGTTTTTTCTACCTAAAATCAATTTGCTTGCACTAAAGAGACCAGTCGAAGGATTTAATTGTGTCATATACTTGGCTTCTTTAAATGATCCATTGCTCAACCCGCACACATTCTGCAGCTCTGAAAGGATAAGACGGCAGATGTTGAAACCGTAATTAGTCGAAAAGGGTAGGTCCTGCAGTTTTGAAACTGACCAGCTGTAAATTTCAAGCAAGTTTCCACACCGACTTAGGAGGATCAGAATGTCATAGCAAGCTAGGTTGTTTGTATTGCCATTTTGGCTGTTTGTGTTCCCAAGCATGATGTAGAGTAGGTGCTGTGTGACGTTGTGTGGGAGACTGATATGTCACTGAGGCTTGTCAAAGTGCAAATGACTGCCGTCTGGTTGTGTGAGCACTTCTCCATCATGAAGTTTTTTTTTTTTTTTTTTTAATGGTTGTGCTGACTCAGGTGTGGCAGTAATATCTGCTTGAGTAAAAATTAAACTGTATACAACCAGAGATGCTACCATTTCATGCAGGATAACTCTTGCCCTGTTCCCAATTAAGAATGGTGCAATTAATTTACTGAATCAATTGGCTAAATACCAGTATGTTGCCAATAATGATTAGGATGTGATAGTGACAAAGACAGTGGAAGAGGCTACAATATGTGATTGTTTGAATGGTAATTATTCAATAATTAATTTGAGACTAAATTTAAACTTTCCCAGAAATCCATCTACCAAAGTAGTATTTTTTTTAATTGAATCAGCATTGAATGCAATATATAGCCTACTGCTTTTAGAGCAGTCAGCCTTGCAAACACAAATCTGTGCTTTTTCATGGGCATGTCATCAACAATTTCTAGCTAACTAAATATGAATTGCGGAGTTGTTCTATATTACTCTTAGTTATTGGGCAAATTAATCGATTGTTGCATTTGTAATCAAGCAAAGTGGTGGGATCAGGTTAACACTAATGATGCCTGATAAGGTGAGGATTGTGTTTATCCAAACATGTTAACGATGACACGTATTCTCGCGATCGCTCTGCATCGTTACTATTTTTAATTCTTGCAGGGCTCACAACTCACGTCATACTGGAAATGGAGCAGGACTCTTCTGACAGGCTACTGCTATTACATGACAGCGAATATAAACGCGGTTCAAAGACAAACTTTGGCATCTTTTTTACCGTTGATTTATCCTGTGTGAAAAAAATACATTAAAAAAAATTCCTCCAAATTTAGGAAAGTGGAAAGTCTAAAGTCCGCCATTTGCATTTCAGTCCATATGTTGTATCCTTTGTCTTTTCCTCTGAGGACCAGGCATGAACTCAGATGCTTTGTAAAGAAATGAATACAGGCAGGTTATTCTCAGTAAGAACTAGAGAACTAATTATTGCTGTCTTTCATATCATTTGGACTTTGCAGGACAGCACAAGTTCTACGGCGATAAAGATTTTAAATTTGTTTTGATCTGTTTCGCTGCCTGTCAGTTCATTTATCTTCCACAGTTGGTATAGCAAATGAATTCTATTGTCTGATTTTAGGTTTTCTTTCGTTTTTGAGACTTACTGTATATTATTTGTACTGAAGACCTGTGTTGGGTTTTCGGTGCATTTTTAGTGTAGTTAGCCGGGGCTGGTGTTGGACAGGGTTAAGATTAACCTAGAAGCCCAGCAGAGATGTGTATTACTAACCTTGCGGTGAGAGAGATTCGCTGTTTTTTAATGAAAACGTCCCCGGCTCCCGATAATCAGCGTGACACATCTCGGCTCATATTTCACTCTGGCGCATTATTTCATCACCGCGAAAACATACAACATTATTTCCCCCCCCCGCATGACAAATAATCGCTGGGAGCTGTGGATCTTAAGAACGCTTTGGCTTCTGTCTGAGGTATGAGCTCCTTTGTGAAAGACTAAGACTAATCTCATTAGGCTCAATAAGGACTCGAAGAATAAAAGCGGAAGGGAAAAAAACAATCCCCGCATTCATATCTACACCTTCTACCCTGGTGAAATGTAGACAGCAGAGCTAAAAAAGAAGAGCCCTCTGTTTTTTTTGTATGCTTGAGAGGAGCGTCGACTATCTGGCCACCGTGAGACAAATGCAGGTCTAGAAGAGTGATGACCCTTAGAAAGAGATGACACAGAAGGACGGGACCCGAACGCGTGCACACCCCCCCCCCACGACACGCACCCACAAAACCAGCCAAACTCCCCACCAAAAATCTTTATCCGCTACATGATGCATGAAAATGTACTGTCTCGTCTCAGAACTGTGCGCGACCTTTTACCCCTCCCCCCAACCCCGGCTGCGTGGGTGCAGCGCGACCTTCCCGGAGCCATCACTTCTTGCTCTCTGGAAGATTCCATGAATTTTTATTACTTTTTTTTTTTTTTTTTTTTTTTTTTTTAGTTCTGTGTTGTCTGATGTGTGGCTTGAGCCTTTAAACAAATTGCTTGACACCCAAGAGATGAAGTTGTTGATGTATCCCGAGATTCATGTACACATACATGCGCCTGTAGACACACACACGCTCTGCGCACACCCACACTTTTTTGCTTTTTTGCCCAAGTGCTGCTAAACAGTCTAGCCTCCAGCGGTGGAAGATCAGTGTGGCAGAGAAAGGCGTATTACTGGATAAATACACTATTTTCTGGAACATTGATTGTTCCACAAACTTGCTGCAGTGTACCCCATAACCAAATGGCTTCAGATAGAGAATGAGAGAAGTCAGCAAAATATAAGCGAGTAATAATAAACTTTATGGTTCAGGAATGGACAGGTTTGCCTGCCAGTTTGTAGCGCTCTTTAAAGCCCCCTCCATAGCTATTACTGTACGGCTAACATATGAAACTGACTGAGAGTTGCCTGTGGAGCTGCTCTTACTTCTTTACAGGATGCATGGAAAAACAACATACGGTAATTAAAACTTCTCTATTAATGACCTTCGTCCACAAATGCTTGACTGAGAGAGTGGAGGTGCTCTCTTTGAGGTGCGAACTCGTGTTGCTGTAAATGAAGAATTGAGGAGAAAATTTAAATAAATTGCAACACTGGTGCATCATACGCCATGTAAGAAACCGTTTTATCATCCATCACTATTACGAGCAGCCTTTATGGTAAAATGGCGTTGAAGACAAGAGCATTGCATGATTGCCTTGACTAGTATTGGACCTGCTATTGGTCTTCTGTACATTGTGCAGCACATGGATTGGCTAAACAAGTCAAGCCAATTTACCTTAATTACCCCCCCCTCCACCCCCCTCCACCCTCCTCCACCCTTACCCAGATTTGTGGAAATTTGAGCCTGAGGTGACCTGCTAAATGCAATACCCCAGACTTCAATTACAGCTGCTCCTCTCTCTCCCTCCTCAGAGTTTGAATAAGGATCCACACCTGGTATAAGCGCGATCAGTCTTACGTGCAGCCATTTCTGGCAACGTTTAAAGCAGCCCCCAACACCTCGGCAGTCGCGCCGACTCTGAAGGGAGACATTGGAGGCATCAATTAGCAATATCATAGGTCTGTTTGTTCCTCTCTTATAATACCCTTGCCCTTAATTCCGCAAAACCACAAGGAGAAATAATTGCTTTCTGGCACGGAAAACTGAAGTGTTAAATTACCTCGATAATTTGTTCTCCCCTTACATTCATTTTGTTGATATTGGTTTATTTTGTTTGTTTGTTT